GGGGGGGGGGGGGAAGGGGGTCAAGGATACACCATTATTATGCTACACCACTTGCTATATGTGAAAAATGAAAAAAATTTAAAAATTTAAAAAATTTAAAACAAAAAAAAAATGAAAAGGAAGAAAAAGAAAACAAAGCATCCGTTTTGAACTATATTATTCTCTTTGAATTAGCATGAGATTTTTAATTATTCTACTAGAATCTTGAGTTATTTACATGTTAGCACACTGTAGGAGTTTATTCTATGTTTAAGTATCATATACTTGTTTTCATTTGGAACTCAACTTATGTGCACCATGAGCATGCTAATTTTTACAATTTATTAAATGAGATTCATATCTTAAAATGCTTGACTTGAATAGTGGAGATGAATGTATTATCTTTTTGAGTTTTGTATCATTCTTTGTTGGAGGGTTAGAATACATTTACTCAAAAGACCATTCTTTTAAATTCAATCTCTTTTAATAATTTATTATTATTATTATTTTGGTTAGTGTAAGTGAGGTAGTTAGTTGACTATATCTCAATGCAAAAGAGTACCTTGCCATATATTTTTGGGAAATGTTCTTAGGCCATCTTTGAATTAATTTGAGACTTAGCCTATTCTTTCTTGTTATTGTTCGTGGTTAACCATGATTGAGCTTTAATGAAAATTTCATTTCTTAGCCACATTTTACAAAGCCATCCATAAATATGTTTATTTTTCCTTGGTTGTCCCTGGATTGATAGTGGTTATATTGTGAAAAAGGAATGGTGCTTTTAAGTAAAGAAAAGAAAAGGAAAAAAAAAGGATTGAAAAGTGCAGAATGATGAGTACATGAATTGTTGATATTCAAAAGCAAGAAAAGAAAGTAAGAACGAAAGGAAGTGAAAATAAAATAAAAAAAATTACTTGTGACAAGGCAATGGAAAAGGGGAAATATAGAGAAATGAATGAGGTCAGCAAATTGATTTCCAAAAGAGGAGATGTGGATACAAATGCTATATTTCTTGGATAACTCATTTTGTATTCTTATATTCTTTCGTTTCTTTAACTTTCACCCAAAGGCCACTTTACAACCGAATAAAGACATATTTTATCCGAAGAGTAGTGGTAGGTGCACTAAATAATGTTAAAGGATGAGTCAACTATATTACTTTCATTTGCCTAATATTCATTTCATGAGATTATGCCAAGGCCATTTCAATTGCATGATTGTTTTCCATTTCTAAATTACGTGTGAGCTATACTTTGATTTGAATTACAAAATCCGTCTCACATATATACAATGAGTAGAACGTCAGTAAAATCAAGTGTTTTATATCTAGAGGGGAAATCCTTAGTGAGATTTGCATCAAAGCTAATTTTGGGATAGCTAATATAGATGTGGATTTTATATGATAAGTTTTTTAAATTGCACAATCATTTCACACACACATGAGTTTTTAATGCAAATATGCATGTGAATACTTTTATATAGCATTTAGATATGTGGTGTAGCTCTTGTGTAAAGACTTTGAGTGGATAGGGAATTTTTATTAAATCTCTTTGTTAATTAGAATAGAATAATATGTTCTAAGTCCAGGATGTAATAAAAAGAAGTTTGTAGGTACCTTCACTAAAAACCTTCTTGACACACAACTCGTCCACTAGGGGTGCCCTAGGGGTTTAACAACTTATTGTATATGCTAAATGCAATAGCGAATCCAAAGTGGTTTTATGTTAGTCTGTTTTCTTATTTTTGGTTTGTTAGGGACTAGCAAAACTTAAGTTGGGGGTATGTTAAGCACAAAATATTGTATATCTCGTGATTTAGTCCTTTCACTTTCTGTATTTGTTGGATGTTTACCTTTACTAATTATGTTGGAATTTTGATTAAATGTGTTCATTTGTGTTTGTAGGTGAAAAGGGGAGAAGAAAAAATATTTTGGAGTTGATGGAATGTCATGGGAAAACATGGGAAAGAAGTGGAGTTGAACTAGAGGAGCAAAAAATGAAAAATTAGAAAAAGACCACTTCAACCAGTTGATCAAAGTTTATCAGAAAAATGCCAAGATGTTGTGAAGACTTCAACCTGTTGAACATCAATGTTCAATCGATTCATCAGGCCATTAACAAGGTACTATGAGCACTTGAACCGGTTCATCGAAGACTTCAACTGGTTGAACCTCTTCTTCAATCGGTTGAACATATATCAACGATGTCACACAAGTCCCAAGCTCTCATTCCTTCACCGTGAAGTATTCTCCATCCACTTGCACATCTTGAGGGAGGATAGATCTACCCAGGAACTTTATTTTTATTGGATGTTGGCACCTCCAACACATCATGGGAGCTTTCCATTGTACGAGTCAAGGGGATGGAGCTTCTTCGGCATTTCACCCACCACCCATGCCACTCACCTTGGCCAATGAACGGAGGAGGATGCTACTATATATATACACACACTCCTATACATATTTGGTGGGGGGGGGGGAGCAGTCTTTCTTTTAAAATTTTGTTGGTGAATCTTGTTCTTGTATTTGAACTTCTCATTTTGAGGCACTTCTATTTGAATCTATTTCTTTTCATTTTGTTGTTTATTTTCCATTGTTTTACATGTTGTTTAACGCCGATTTCAATTTGAAGGGTTTTACTTTTGGCTAAGATTCGGCGTGATCCGAGGGATGATTCTCGCTTGTGATTAAGCATTATTGATTCACTATTGTGTTCTAACCTTGTAGTATATTTTATAGATAGTAAAATAATTTTTAAAAATTAGTTTTTAAGTGTTCACCTTGATTTCTCGTCGATGGTTCTTCTAGCAAGGGTAATGCTTGGAAATCATTTGTACATCTACATATTTATCATTCTAGATTATCTATCTTTAAAGTAACATATATTTCAAATCTGATTTTAGTTGAATATTTTCCATCTGAGTAAATTTGATTATGATCTTGAATAAGTTTTAAATGAAAATTAGTAAGTTTGATAACAGTGAGATGATTTCCAACAATTATCCGATTATTTAGCGTTTGATTTGATTATAGTAGTTGCTATTCTCACAATTTTTCAAAAGTCCAATAGTTTTCATTTTATTTTGCAACACATCACCATTCGGGTTGCCATTGTTCCCTGAGGAGATGACCTCATATTTTTTGAGTTACTACACTGCAAATATTTCCTACATTTGGGAAACACGTTGTAATATTTCAAAGAAAGCAAAGAGGACAAGAAATCCATACACATCAAAAAGTAATCAAACAGTGTATGACTCCTATTGGCATGGACAGTTGATGGGTTGGTTTCCGAGTCTTACTCTTGAGGACTTGGTGAGAAAAGAGTTGGGTCTACCTCGGGTCATTTGCAAGTATGTGGATGTCTAACTAGATGAGTTACCAAGATTGCCTCCACATTAGGAAGTCGAATTTTCCATTGATTTGTTGCCCGTAGTATCCCCCATCTCTATAACACCGTATAGGATGGCACCGGTGGAGTTACAAGAACTTAAGGTCCAATTAAAGGAATTATTGGACAAGGGTTTTATGCGGCTGAGTACCTCACCTTAGGGTGCTCCAGTACTATTTACCAATAATAAAGATGGGACATTTAGACTTTACATAAACTACCGACAGTTGAATCGGATCACTATTAAGAACAAGTACCCATTGCTGCGTATAGATGACCAGTTTGACCAATTGAGAGAGACTCAGGTCTATTCCAGAATAAACTTGTGCACGAGTTATCATCAATTGAAGAGAAGGGATGCTAACATTCCTAAGACAACATCTAGGACTCGGTACGACCACTTCAAGTTCACAGTTATGTCGTTCAGTTTAACGAATGCCCCATTAGCGTTCATGGACCTCACTCATAGGGTGTTCAAACCCTACATTGATTAGTTTGTTGTGGTGTTTATAGATGACATTCTTGTGTACTCCAAGCTTGAGGAGGAGCACGAAAATCACTTGAGGATTGTTTATACAAGCCTTGAGAGATCATCAATTATATGCCAAATTCAGTAAGTGTATTTTCGCTAAAAGATGTCAAATTTTTGGGCCATATTGTGTCCAATATGGGTGTGTTAGTTGATTTAGAGAAGTTTCAAGCGGTAATGAATTCGGAGAGGCCGAAGTCAGTCTTTGAGATACGTAGTTTTTGGGATTGGTAGGATATTATAGGACGTTCATTGAGAACTTCTCCTACTTAGCAGCTCCTATGAAACAACTTACCAGAATGGATGTCAGGTTTCAATGGATGACTATTATGAGAAGGCATTCCAAGAGTGGAAAAAAAGGTTGGCTTCAGGTCCTATCTTAATCATTTTGGAAAGAGGACAAAGGTATATGGTCTATTGTGATGCCTCAAAGGAAGGACTAGGATATGTTTTGATGTAATTTGGGAGGGTATGCTTATGGTTCTCGTTAGCTTAAGAACAATGAGAAAAACTATCAGACACACGACATGGAGTTGACAACTATTGTCTTTGCATTGAAGGCATAGCGCCACTATCTATACGAAGAGAAATTTGAGGTATATTCGGACCATAAGAGTCTAAATTATATTTTGACACAACCAAACCAAAACATTAGACATCGCCGATGGATGGAGTATCTAGACGATTATGACTTTAGCTTGTGCCACCATCCTGGTAAGGTAAACGTGGTGGCTAATGCTCTTAACTGAAAGTTACGAGGAGTTTTAGCTAGTGTAGTTTCACGAGGGTGGCAGGTTCTTGAGACTGTTACTCCATCTTTACTCAACAAAGTGATTGAGGCTCAGGGTCAAGATTTTGAGTTATTGTCCATCAGGGACAAAAAAAGTTCAGGAAGGTTTGGGTGATGAGGGTTTGGTTGCTCATTTCGATGGTAGTCTCTGGTATAAAGGCAGGGTTCTTGTTCCTTAGTCCATGGATACGAGGGAGGATATACTTAGGTAGTTTTATTGCTCTCATTTTGTATTGCATCTTGGTGGCCCAAAGTTGTTTCATATTTTCATTGTCAGTACTACTAGAGTAGGATGAAGAAGCATGTGGTTGACTTCATTAGTAGGTGTTTGAATTGTCAGTAAGTCAAGGCTGAGCACAAAAGACTGGCATGGTCGCTCTAGCCACTAGAGGTAGCCAATTGAAAATGGGAGCATATCACTACGGATTTTGTTACTCATTTACCATGATCTACCTAGGGACATGACGCAATATGGTTTATAGTGGATCAACTTACCAAGTTGACTCAATTTTTGGCAGTACGAATGACCTTCACGTTGGAGGAATTCTATAGACTATATATTTGAGAGATTGTTTGGTTGCATGGGGTACCCTTTTTTATTATAGATCAAGATCCACGATTTACAACTCGATTTTAGGAAAGTTTTCAGCAAGCTACGGGTACATAGTTGATGTTGAGTATTGCTTTTCATTCACAAACTGATTGCCAGTCAGAGAGGACTATTCAGATCCAAGAAGATATGCTTTGGACATGTGTTCTTGACCGCAAGGGTAGTTGAGAGGATCATTTTCCCTTGGTTGAATTTTTCTATAACAATAGTTATTAGGCATGTATATAGATCGCATCTTACGAGGCTATTTATGGGACGTCGTGCCATTCTCTGATTTGTTGGATAGGATGGAAAGGGACCTTCCACGGGTCTAAAAATGATTAGGAACACCAACGAGAAGATGGTCATATTATTCGATGGCATCTTTTTACGGCTCAAAGTCAACAAAAAAGTTATGCCAACCAACGGCGGAGACCACTTGAGTTTGAGTGGGGGATCACATATTCTTGAAGGTTAAGCCTAAGAGGGGGATGGTCTGATTTGGTAAGAGGGATAAGTTATCCAAAGATATATTGGGCCTTTCGAGGTACTTAAGAAGGCTGAGACAGTTGCTTATTGTTTGATGTTATCACCATATCTATCAAGTGTTCATAGCGTAATCCATGTATCCATGTGTTAGAAGTACACTCTAGATCCTATTCATGTGGTAGATTGGGATGAACATGTGGAAAATGCGGATGAAACCTTCGAGGAGGAATTGGTCAGTATTCTGGACAGTTGAGAACAAGTTTTGTAAGGCAAGACTGTGAGATTGGTTAAGGTGATGTAGCAACACCGGGGTGTCGAGGAGGCTACATAGGAGCGTGAGGATACTATACGGTCCACCTACCCATTTCTATTTGAAGATGGAGGCATAATTTAAACTTCGTGTCAATTCCATACAAAATGACTCACATGTGTTCTTAATTTCTAGGACGAAATTTTCTAAAGGAAAGAAGAATATAAAACTGAAAAAAATTAATAAATCGATTAAGTGGTTAATACGGTAATTAAGTCATTTAAGCATGGTTAACAATCTAAAATTTTATATAACTCAGATGATGAAACGGACCTCACCATTGGACTTGTATCGTGAAAACAAGTTGGGCGTACAAATTTTAGATTTTGAGACAATCGGAAAAATTACACATTATGAGACGAGATACGCGATCGGATGTTACGCAATTAAAATTCCAACAAATTAGACTTTTATTTATGGGATCCACAACATAATTAAAAAAGCCACTCAACTAACACTATCCAAACTTGACATTTGTCACTTGACACATTACACACTTAGTATATAAAGGGCCAAAAAGTGNCTAAAAAAACCACTCAACTAACACTATCCAAACTTGACATTTGTCACTTGACACATTACACACTTAGTATATAAATGGCCAAAAATTGGAAGACAATCTTCCACTTCTCCATTCTCTTTGCAAATTTTAGTAGAGAGAGAATTTGGAAGAACTCTTCCACTTCCCCTCCTCCTTTTAAAAATATCTTTCAATCCAACCATTGGATCTTATCAATCAAGAATTAAAGTCGTTCTATATGATGAGGGCTACCTACCAACACCAAGATCGACTATTTTCCACCATTTTCAAATCAAGGGTTGGCTAGAGCTTGTAAAGTGCTTAGTTGGGATTTTCAAGGGACTTCTTCACCACCATTTGATTCTAAGAGGTGTGGGTTCCCTTCTATTTAAAACTAAATTCCAATTTAGTGGGTGTATGTGATATGGGTATAATCAACATGCATGCTAATTGTGAGATTAGCATATGGCTAGGGGTGTTCACTTGTTGATTTGATGAACATGTTGTGATCTTAATAATTATATTATTAAGTACGTAAACTTGTTGTTATGTGAATTATGATAAGCATTCTAGGTGTATAAATTCTATGCACTTTAGATGAAATGTCATATTGTGGACAAGTATGTTATGTGGGTTAATTGATGCACATCACATTGATGAAATGCTAGAATAAGAAATATATGCTTTCTTGCTATATTTGAGATTGTAANGAAATGTCATAGTGTGGAGAAGTATGTTATGTGGGTTAATTGATGCACATCACATGTTTGATGAAATGCTAGAATAAGAAATATATGCTTTCTTGCTATATTTGAGATTGTAAGTCCATTTAAATTG